AATCTGCGATCCATCCATTCTTTATTAAAATTGTAACCTCTGTCTTGTTACTGTACCACAAAAAGCCACAAGTCTACCGTTTATTCTAACTTGCAAAAAATAATTATTATGCTGGTATTAATATTCACATATTTAATTCATATTAGGTGATATTATGTAAAGGATATGTTAAGGTAACGTATAACTAACTAATAGTAATAAAATTTACAATATGTTTTAATTTGAATGTTTTAATATTTGCCCATTGGTATGTCTTTTTATGTGGCCCGTATTACTGTTATTATTACAAATTTTGTCTAACAATCATTGCATTTTGCCACGTAATTAATAATAAAACTATTCCTTTCAGCGACCTTTTTACATCCTATGTTTCACCTACATATTTTCCTGCTATTTAATATTTAAAAACGGATTATAAATAATTTAAAAATCTTTAAAATCTACAATTAATTCGTTACAATTTATTGATTGACTTAACATTAACAGCGTAGGTAACAAAGGTGTTTTTTAAATTTAATGTTGGTCATTCTTTAGATGGATTTCATCCTGCGTCTGGTCGTCCTTGATTGTTATCCTCCACGTCATGTCCTTAATTTTACTTTCTTTGTCGCGTCCAATTTCTGAAGGAGAAAGGGATACATCCGCTACTATCGAATAACAAAAAACAATAAAAACACGAAACAAAACCAATATCCTTGTTACGTAAAAAGACAAGTCGACGAACTTCTTTGTCGGTGTCTCAATATTCCAGACTGTTTTGAGTCGGAGGCAAATTTGCGATCGCCGTCCTTGTCGCCCTTTCGGCCCCCTGTCATAGCAAACAAATTGTGCTTTGCGTTTGTCATCGGCCTTTGTTGTTCGCTACGTTTTGCGTTTTGATTTCTTAATAGGCCTGTCAAAACGGAGCGTGACTCCGAACGGCCCCATTTGATGGTCTCTTCTCTTTGTGACTGTAGTTAGCCCCCCACCAAAACAAAACAGTGGATTTTGCGACGTACGAACTAGCACTAATGACCCTTTCCCAACCATCAAGAAAGTCCCTTTTTTATTTTTCAAATTAAATTGTTTTTATGAACGGAAAAAAAGAACCCAGTTACAAGCAAACAGTTAGTTACAAATTACAGGATAATTACTTAATATATTAGATCAACCAACAAACCGAGTAAAGTTGGATATTAAAGCAATAAGTGGGCTGAAATAGTATGACATACTGATAGAAGTCGATACCAAAGTAGCAAAGTAGACAACATATGCATATAAAACATTTAAGCCGGTAACACATCCGATGCAACGCCATGCGACGCTACCCGACTCAAAGCCAAAGCTCAATTTTCCATAAGGTTGTATTACCCCCGTGCACATCTGCCCGATGCTATGCAACGCTACCATACTCTATGCTCTGCGATCCCCACTGTCCAGATTTTCGTCGGTTAGCATCGAGTACAGTCGAAGACAAAAGAACCGGACACTCATATTTTTATTCAAACTACATGTATGTCGTTATATTAAGTATCGAGATCAAAAATTCATTAGTTTTTATTTAAAAAAAAAATATATATATGGATTTTTAGAAAATTGATCAAAACACCGGAATACCATTTTTTGATATAATGATTTAACTAACAATTTATCACACGGTTTTACTCATAAAATTTAACTAATAATTTATTTCATGTTTTTGCTCATAAAATTACATCATTTTCGTCAAGAAGCTTCAGAACAGGAGACTCATATTTTTTGTAGTTTATTTCAAACTAAGTATATGTAATTTTGCCGATATATTAATTACAACATTCCTATTTTAATGTAAGCCAAATTAAATGAGATCAAAAATTCATAAGTTTTTATAAAAATTATTTAATTACGCTGGTTAAGAAAAAAATTTATCAAAACACAGGAATAACTTTATTTAAAACAATTAAGATTAACAAACAACTTATTACATGGATGTACTCATAAAATTTAACTATCAATTTATTACAAGGTTTTGTTCAAAATAGTGCATTAAGAACACAAGAGGCGATGCAATTGTGATAATGATTATTGTGATACACGCTGTGTGACTGTACGTGACGTGCGCTTGACTTCCCATAGATGTGCACACCCTACCAAAACGTGGCAAGGCGTCGGGTAGCGTGGCATTGGGTAAGTGTGTTCCCGGCTTTACTGTGAGATTTCGTCTGGAGGCCTGCGTGGTGATGATATGAAGTTTGGTTCCTATCATCCTGGTCTACCTACTCGCACTGGTTTGATCTGTTTTACCATCATTCTTTAGTTATGACCGATAAAAATATGGACTGATGATATCGAGGCACCGACTAAATCAAAACAGAGAAGAAATGCAGACCAAAATGATAGGGAATGACCAAACTACCAAAATGATAAAATTACAATGCCGACAGTCAAATTATGCCCAACAATAGCTCTGCTTACATATAATTCCATGTGTCCTAGGTTTTTTAAAATTTTTATTTTAATGGCCTTATGATTGATGCATATTTACCCAAGGTGACGATTATTATAAGTTAGTGTATTCATATTGTCGGAGGGGGGAACGTGAAAAAAAGGCGAAAAGTGACGGTGAGAATCGAACCCACGACCGCAGCGTCTATGAGCCGAGAGCCTCTCACACCGCGGTCCCCATATTATTTAGGTTGTAATGTTATTAAAAAATTAAAACAAGAATTTTTCACTGAATAAAATCAAATCTCAGGCCCAGCACTGGCGTGTTGTACCTCACTACAAAAATTTTAATATCTAAGCTTAAAAACATGCTTCTGTCGAAAAATGGAACGGTTCTATTTTAAGTTTAACCAAATTAACATCGGAACACGGTCTGATAGAGACTGACGGCTCTGTTAACGAAACGTTGACCTTATGGGTAATTCATACTTGACCCTGCGTTTCTGAATAATGGTTAGAAACAACAATGAAATTGATTTAACAGTGCAACGCAATTTGCCTTGCAGGATAGAAAATACTTTTTGTTTTTAATATTTTATTACAGTCTGCAATAATTATTGGTTTTAAAATGTAAGTCCTGTTGGACAAGGCTCGGACTATGGGGTGATGGGAGAGATTAGTGTGGATTTTGGTAAATTTTTGAGGAATTATGTTTTGGATAAATGGGATTTTAAGACCGTTGTGGAGGGTAGTATTAGAGACATAATACGGAGCATTTATAATTGACCCGAGGGCTTTAGACTGAAAGGATTTCAAACGTTGGATATTGGATGGCTTAGCAGTGCCCCACAATTCTATCCATGGGGGTTATTATATATGAAAGCAGAGAGCTTTTTCACATTATGTAATGTATGTTTGGGGAGAAAGTATTTCCCAAAAATTTGGAAAGAGTCCAAAATTGTGCTCTTAATTAAGCCGAGAGCACAGTGGAAAGAAGACCCATGGAAGTACTGTCCCATAAATCTTCTGTCAGTACCTGGGAAAAGATTTGAGAAACTAATGATGTATAGAAACCTATATCACCTCCACAACAAAAAGCTTCTTTCAAATAGACAGATATACCAACATGATAGATACGATCAAAATAACAAGAGAACAAAATAAATTGGATGCCCACAAAGCTCTTTTGGAGAACCAGGATTCTGGAAAGGGTTATCCTGAATGTGTTCACGTTTTGACCCTTGTAGAGACTATTTATTGATAGTTGTACGCAAAACACACTTCGACCTGATGATCTTGGCAAATTCTGCTTTGTCTCAGAGAAATTAGCTCTGGAGAACATTACTTTCAATCCATTATATTTAGTGGTCTATTGACCAAATTACTTCTTTCGGTTAATTAAACTTTTTAGGTAAGCTTTTGGTTCAAATGAAAAGTGCCTCGAGCGGGATGCGAATACGCCGTGGCTCTACCACTTGAGCTATCGTGACAAATCCCGCTCGTGGCACTAACTTTTTCATTTCAAACAAAACCTTCCATAAGATTAATTAATTACTTTCAATCCTGAAAAAAGTGAAGTAAATATCGAGAATAAAAATTCCACCCAATTGATTTTTTTTTCATTTTTTCGACAAAAGAAAATTCTTCCCTTAATTTGTCTTATTGTTTTTACCAATAATATTTGTTTATTCTATGTTTTAAACTGTGAATATCAATTAGAGGTAAACACACTTAATCCGTAATCCAAATCAAGGATAAAAGATTTTTCAATCTTTATTTTTTATGGAATTTAAAATGTTGAATGAATTTGAATTCTGACGAAATAAACTGCTTAGTTTTCATCTTTGTTTTCTTAATTTCAATTTTTAAACTTAAACTTTTTCAATTTGAGAAATTTGTGAAACCGGCACCTTACTGTTGTTCAAGTACGATCGAGATAACTAGATTCATATTTCAGGAGCTAGTTTACTTTACTTCTGTTTGACATGTAATGGATCGAAACGAGGTGTGTGACATATGGGTCGAAACGAGTTACCCTAAAACTTTTGTTTCGTTGGTCGAAATGAAATATACCCCGTTTTATACAAAACTACATCCATGATTGTTCTAGTCATCATTGATGTTATGTTGAAAAACATTAACTATCTGTGTCCTAATAGCCCGAAAAGGCCAAACTGCATAAAACTGCTGACAATTTTGAACAATTCGACTGGCAAGATATAAGTGAATTGTTCAATAACATTACAAACAATCACTCAATTCACTGAATTGAATTTTTAACTTTATACTATTAAATCATTATTAAATAATGACTATTTCAAAATATAATTAAACTGTAATTAGTTTCAAACTGTCGTTAGTAGGTAATTTATTGGATTTTTTGTTGTTCATCGGATTAACTTTAAAAGGTGGATTTTTTGTGAAAACAATTACAATTTTATTTACACAATGATAAAACAATGATACAGCTTTAAGAAGTAAAAAAAAAAACAATAAATTTTTTAATGTTTAAATTTTTACGTTGACAATTCACATTGTGAAAGGTGATCACAGCCTTTTCGAAACATCCGGCGATCAAGTCATGCGCGTAGTGGTAGCGGTTAGCACGAGGCAGTAGCAAACGTTCGCAAGGATCGTCCTGCCCATTTCTCGCCCGTTTTACCTGTGCCCAGGCAGAATCTTTAAAGATCGTCATAATCATCAGACGGGGTTGACAAGCGGGGACTCATTCGTCCTTTGAAAATCAGGAATCTTTTCTGGTAAGAGATGTTATTTGTTAAAACGAGCCGAAGTACACGTGCCGTTGTTGTCGTTGGTTATTTACCGTGGGGTCGGTTATTTGGTGGGGAGCGATCGGTTTCGTTTCGTCACTGAAGTATTCGGTGGCGGGTTTTTCAAACCTGTTATTTTTTAAACGACGAAAAAAAAAAAGAAAAATCAACAGCACAATTGTATGTATAACTTCTAAATATTTCCCGATGATCCTGGTCTACTTATTTTCTATAGATAAAAACTAAATAAATGAATGGACCACGACAATAATTATCCTAGAAACATATTAGTAGGTTATTCCAGTATGCTAATCTATTTCTAGTAAAATTATTTTTTACTTTACTATTTCTAATGTTTACTTGGAAAAAATTATATTTCTATTTCTATGTCATAGGGAAAAAGACCAAAATATAGAATATCTTCTCAAAATAATTTTCAGGCCTTTCTGCATCTAAAAGTTATTTTCCGAATGCTTGAGCTATTTTTTAAAAATTATGAAATTTAGATTTACCAACAGGTTATTTTTTCCTTCGAATTCATTTCGAATTTTTTAGGGATGTTAAAAAATCAAATATGTACGAAATTTACAATTAAAAAGCATGATAGAAAGCTATAAATATTTACCAAAAGTAAACAGTTGGTTACAAAATGAAAAAAACAAAACAAGAAAAATTACATATATGTATATATATATGTGTGTGTGTGTGTGTGTGTGTGTGTGTGTGTATTTTTTACGTCATAAATAATACAAATATAGTATTAATTGAATCCATTTAAATTCATTTCGGCGTGAATTATGATTTTTCTGTTTTGTGTCTCCCCTCAAAAATCATGTTTTCACGCATAAGGCGCGTTTTGCCAGATTGTGGCGAATCGATTCTTACAATTAATTTTCACAATCATAACATTTATAGGTAACGGATTTTAAAAATAATATATAGTGTATGAGAAAAAAATTCAAGTTAAGAAAATACAATATTTTTTTAAATATGTATATTTAAGTTCTTGTCAAAACCAAACTACTTATTTTAGGCCAATTTTGGCATAACTTATTGTCATCCATTCCGTTTAAATTTGTACTAAATTGATTGATCAGGATTCCAGAAAAGTGTACCAATGTGGAAGGGGTTTTCCCATAAGAATATTTTTGGTGTTGTCCTCCCCTTACAAAATATTGTACTGATTGTTTTTATGATTTGCTCATTTTATTATATAATTGTGATTATTTCTGTTAAAGTTAAAAAGTTAAACTGCGTTAAATTGATTTCGCCAAAAATGTCTTCTAGCGTGGATGGTAATTTGGCTATTAATTTGTATCGATTGGTAATTTGACCTGTTACCCGTAGGTTAGTTTTCGCTGTCATAATTGCAATGCACACTTCAATCACGTTCGTATGCCAGGTAGTTCTTGTGACATTAGATGGATTGGACACCCACGGTGATTTTAGAATACTCGATCCTAAATCCTAAACAACCATGGCCTTTTTAAAACCCTGGATTTCATTCCACCAAGCTAATCTTCCAGTCTAAATCCCATTTGTCCCCATTGTGATTAAATACATTTTTTTTACAAACCGCGTTCGTATATTCTCTGGTTTTTTCAGATAATTGATCCGTTTACTGCAGATTCCAATAACACAACAATTGCATTATTATCCTCTGCTGGAATATGCTCTGACACATGACGATGCCTGTAAAATTAGGATGCCTCACAGACGACTGGATTATTATTCCCTGTTGGAATCAAATGTTTTGGCGTATAACGATACCTATAAAACTAGGATACCTAGGGTAAGGTTGATTAAAGTCTTGAAAAGTAGTCAGAATAAAGATGCGCAAAAAACTGTTATTTAAATCTTAAAATAATTTGTTTCTGTATGTTCAAATTTACATAATGTTTTTAATTTGATAATCTCCCTTGGTTGTGCATGTAATTCGTGGTCGTTAATTATCAGTCGATAATATTTGGACAAAACGTGATTAAATATATAAAAGTTACAAAAACGAAACTTCTTGTAATATTGCAAAAAAAACACTTTTCAATCGTTTTTATCACATTTTAAATACCTTAAATACGAATTCTGATAGTAAGGAAAATACAGATGGACTGTTTTATCTCTGGCTATTTTTGTTCTCGCCGATGTCCAGTGTTCCCCTTAAAAATTTATAACTCCTGTTGACTTCGTGCAAATTGAATGTTATTACAGCCTCAGCCGCTATAAAGCTTAATAACGCTTTATTCAGTCTTATCAACAGATTTTTTTGTCATTCCCTCCCGTTTTAATTTATTTACCTTTGCCAGGGTCCTCCCATTACAATAGATAAATTTTTGAATCTTAAAAAATGTTGCAGAAAATCGTTTCATAAATATCAAAATTTTTGTTAGTTTCTAATAATAATGAAAAATGGGAGGGTTTTGGAATTTGTTAACTTAAAAAAAATATTTTCAAGTTTTTTTAGTAAGAAAAACGACTATCAACATAGTTTCTTGATATAAAAATATTAATTTACGTTGCTCGGTCAGAAAATAATTATGCATTATATTTCAATAGATAGCTCGAATTTTATCTGTTGTTTCTGGGTTTTTGTTAAAGTAGGTGTTATGATATTTTACAATCGTACAAACATACATGCAGTTCAAAATTATGATATCATATTTAATGAACATTATGTAAATTAATTAAAAGGTTTTGTTTCCCTGTTCCGAGGACCTATTGGCAAGAATGCTCGGACACTTGTCAAATATTTTTAGAGTTACTATCAATTAAAACAAGTTTCATATAGGAAAGTAAAGTACATAAGATAACATCAAAATTAGTAAATTGTACTAAAAAATATGTACAATATTTTTATTTATATTTAATTATTATTTTTGTTTTTTTAAATTGCCCTTATGAATATAGCACAATAGCCAAGAAAGGACGTGTTAGTGTATGTCACGACGCATTGCATAAATGAGGGAAGGGTATCGTGAAAAAAGTGCAGAACGGATGGTCGGAATCGAACCCAACACCGCGGGGACTATGAGCAGATAGTCTATCATGTTAGCCAATCGGGTACCGCCAAATTTATCGCCGTATTATTTATCTCTTTGAGTAGTTTTAATTTTAATAATGTTTTCAATCATTCCTATTGCCAGTATTGGGATTAGTTTTCTTTGTCTAGTTTTGCTGTATTTACCCAAGAAAATACCAAAAACAGTTTTAAAAAATGTTAATCACAAAGTGTACTTCATGATTACGTACGTTTACATTTCTATTTTAATCACGTTAATTATATAGTTCGTGTGGTTATCCTAATTGCTGTGGTAATACCTTAATATCTGTACTTATCTTACCCTCAGTGATTAAGAATTAATTATGATTTAACACTTTGTTATGTAAACATATTCTTACTTTTTCAGTCATGTATAAATTGTGACAACGTATATCTTGAAGACAAGAAATTTTCCTAATTATATTAATTGCGTATGAAATTTCTTTTGGTATTATCTAACATGAAATTTTCTGAAATGCCGAAAGTTTTCTAGTATATTTACGGATTTTTAGTTTGGAAATTTATAAAAGAAAAGACGATTCCAACGTTCCTTGGTTTTTTTTTGTTTTTTGTTTGGGAAATTTACTGTCCAACATTAAGGGAACCCCTAAGACCCAAATAACGGGCTATAATGCTAAATTAATGCTTATCCTTTTTATACAACGGATTAAGGGAGGATTTGTATTTACGACCACTTTTCTATTTACCATTCTGTATTATTGATCCGTGCAGCATTCTTAGGAAGTAAGTTAATAGGCGAATTTCGTTGGTCGTTGCCCCCTCATTGCAGCGTATACACGGCAGAGCTGTATGCGATTTGGCTTGTGGCGGTGCGGACCGGGGAGGGCTCAGCCTTCCTCGTATGTACCGACTCTCTGAGCGCTGTCTGGGCTATACGCGACAGGTACTCTGTGGACCCTCTCGTCGTGCTTTTGTTAGAGAAATACGCGGAGCTGGAACCTCTCGGAAAAACGGTGGTTGTTGTCTGGATCCCCGGACACGTCGGCCTGGAGGGTAACTAACGCGCGGACGAGGCGGCGAAAGCCGGTACGTCCCACCCTCCAGATCGGACCATCGCGATCAGGCCCCCTGACGCTAAACACGCAGTTAAAAATATGATAAAAGAAAGATGGCAGCGTCAATGGGCGGGGTCGTCGGAGAGGCTCTTGCGAGTCAAGAGCACGACCGGTAGATGGCCCTCAGAGAATCTGGGCAGGAGACGAGGGATCGTCCTCACCCGACTGAGGATTGGCCATACTCGGTTGACACATGGGCACCTGCTTTTTGGCCTAAGCCCGCGCAGGTGCCCCTTATGCAGAGAAAGGTTGCTCGATGTGTCCCACATAATAGAGGCGTGTCATGCCTTGGCTCCATCCAGAGAGCGTGTAGGCATGCCGCCGGATTTAAGAAGAGTACTCGAGCACGGTAGAGGGTTTCAGAGTCCCCTGTTCCGCTTTTTAGGGGAAATTGGGGTTTTTTATTGTATAAAGTATGTCTTATGTGTTATGTGTCTATATGTTTTGTCTGTGTGCATGTATTTATTAGGGTGAATATAACGTCATCATCGCCCCTCGAACGATGAAAGCGAGTGAGTGTGTGTTCGGGGTCGATGGCGGAATATTTATAAAAGTACCCCATCGACCCCAATCTAGTTTAGTTTAAGTGTAGGTCGGTGGAGGAATATCAAGTACTCCACCGACCAAACGGAATGAGTGAACTTATTTATTTGTATGAATGTTGTGTTTGAACGGGTATAGAATATAGAATATAGACTTAGTGGGGGGCTGAAATGGCCTAGATGTCGGAAGCCCCAGCAAAAAAAAAAAAAAAAGGCGAATTTCAACCGATGTATATGGAAAGTTACGAAACGACCGGTGCAATGGCCACTATTTATCTATTTGCATAAAGCAGTGGGAACCGATTGATTTAGTGTTTAGTTATGTAAGTAAGTCTAATAGACCTTGCCAAAAGGGAGCTTATACTTTTAAGACTAGATCTGAACGAGTCGTACCGACGCGTTACATTTTTTTTGCATAACTTACAAAATTTTAATCACAAGAATAGGTGTTTTGTTAATAAGCCAATATTTTACATGGCCACAGATAATAAGATAAAATTTACAAATTACAAAACTCTCGTACCTCATGCTAATGGAATCACAATATATTGAAATTGAATGGAAAGTAATTTGAGAGGATCTTATAGATGATTAGGTCACATTTTATAAATTTATATTTAATCCAAAACATCGAAAGTTGTTCTCTGATGAGAGAGAAGTTGTACAAGAAGAGTAAAAGTATTACATAACGGCTAAAGATTACAAGTGCCCACTCTGAAATTTTTAGGCGTCGTTTTTATTTCGAGATATCATTCAACACATTATACTGTATAAAAGATGAGTCTAAAATCGTTAAATTATTATCCGTTTCTGCTAAGATTCACTTGTACACATATATGACACAGGCAAACTTTCAATGTACAGCTAAATAGATTATGTAAATTTAGTTTAGGTTACTACGAATAATCTCTTGGCCCTCTTTACGACCTTGCGCACTGCGCCTAATATTGTTGACCTATTGTTAATTTTCAATATTAGGGGAATTCTGTTTACCCTGTTAACTCTGTTTGGACGTGTTCAATCGAGAAAAATGATGACGTAGACTTATCAGAATCGGCTAGTTAACATTGCTATCCGTTAGGACGTAGGTAACCAACATGGCAGCCATGAATTTAACAGCTGTTTTTTTGTTTACACGTATTTTTATTCTTAAATACGCAGTAATTAAGTCAGACCAATATATTTCTTTTTTTGATTTCTTACCTGTTGCTGTACTCTCATTCATAAAAGATACATCCCTATCCTATGAAGTTGTAGGCTGTTATACGTTATGATCCAAGGTAGGTATGTCGGTACGAATTTAAGCATGTCATTTGTTAGTACTTTTCGAGTGCATAGATAGCATTTTGAATGAGTTGATTAATTTTCCTTTTTTGGTAACTTCTGGCCTCTTACAATTTAACACAAAACAAAACCACAATAACAAGCCTTCCAGTACTGTTATAGATTCATTTTTGGTTTTACCAGTCGTCATGCGCAGCATTGCGGAAAAATTAACGTTTAACATGCCAAGAAACGAAGGGGGCGTTCACGATCTTACTGGACATTTCTCTATTCAAGTTAACACGAATTAACGCCTAACAATCATCGTGAATACCCCTGTATTTTACCAAACCCCAAAGCTTTGTTGACGCTTTTGAGAACATAATATGCGACTTGTTACGGACGCACCTAGTGTATATATAATGTTTTGCGTGGTATTCCTCAAACAATTTTGATACTTTCTTGAGTTAAAGGTCATAATCTGTTTCTTATTCTTCTTTTCCCTATCTGCACAGGCTTGTTTCTGCAGCTGTGAGTTTGTACATATGTCTTCGGACTTCGCAGTTGATAACACGTCCAAGGATTAGTAGTTGCGATGGTTATGTTACGAACGTTTTTGCATGCCTCTGTCCTATAGCCTAATCAATTTCAATTTGGTATGCCGCAAAAGCGTTCGGGGCCGGTAGTTGTTCTGACTGAACTGCCAATTTATTGGCCTCCTGCTTCCCCTTTGCATGCCTTACATCCAAACACGGGTGATTTTATTGTTTTTTCCAATGTTTTATTCTTAATGCGATCCCAAACCACTCGGGTTTTTACTACCGATAGGTCAGGTAATAAGGTCATTATTTTGCTCTTTCTTGCTGTCTGTACAAATATAAAAACGGCATTCTAAACCAATTTATTGTGACAAAATATTTTATGTCAGCAGAAATATGAGATGAGCTATGCAATTTTCCTAGAAAATTAATAAACTTGATGTGCATCTTTCATTACAAATGGCTTCAACTTTAACCTGGAGAAAAAAAACGAAAGTTTCAGAGAAACCATTATTAAGAATGCAATAAACACCAGTATGTATGTTTCAACACGAGTCGATTCCCTTAAAAGTGTATTAATGATCATAACTTTTCTTTGATCTATTTGCCATGTCAAGTTAATAATTTCCTATACATTCATCTATGGAGAATAAACCGGATTTGTTTTATGTCAGAGGGCTAAATAATTTCTATGTACATATATAAAATTACAATTTTCCCCCAAAAAAGGATGAAAAGGTGTGCTAAAATATCATTTGTTCCAAAAGCCTAATTTGGTCCTACGGTTTATGTAAGTACGGTTACATAACTTAAAAATAATTCTCAAATATAAAATCTAACCAGAAAATATTGATTAGTCCTATATTGACAAAAAAATGTTCAATACAGTCAATCAGCTGGCTTTATAACTTGTAGTTTATAAAAATAATATTGCGTTCTCAATTGTTATTAGTATAAAATTGATTGACAATTTTTTTCAATATACACGTCTTGATGGATAGTGTGTCCGCCCGGGACATCGTTATTTCTGATTTCCTCGACGAAGTCTTCCTGATGTTCGTAGGTATTTTTGTACTAATAAATTAGATTTTTTTATAATCTACTAGAGGTTCCGGCGTATTGTATATTGCAAGAGCTATTTATTTCGTTTGTTCTAGCCTTTTATAAATACTTCTTGAAGAGCAAGTGACTTTCATAAACAGTGAACGTTTTAAAAACTTCTTATAGCCTTCACTTAACTCTTTTTATAAGTACTGTGCTCTAACCAATTGCGCCATTGGGGAAGGCGAATTTAACTCTTTAAAAATACTCATGGTATTATCTATGAACCAAAACAATGACTTGTACGCATGTGTATAAAATTAATAATAATATTATATTCTCCATAAAATAATGTTATTTGCGTTGTAACCGATCTATTGAACTTAACGTAACTTTCTTGCCCAACTTCTTTTGTCTTTTCTTCTCATGTAATGTTTTCGTTTCTTATTGTTTCGTACTGTGTTTGTTTTTGGCAGAGAAAAATATGTTCATCTAGTTTCGCTGAATTCGCATTATTTATTATTATTCCCACGACTTTGTCCTGCTTTGTGAGCGTTTTTGCATTGTGAATGTGAATTGAATTATCTATATGTGCAATATTTATGACGAAAATAAAATTTGTATTATTTTTAAAATAAAATTAACAAATACTTACTATTGAATATTAATTTGTACTCAGGGTTACAATATTACAAATAACATTTATTCTAACTTGTTTGCGAGAATTTTTTTTAAATTGAAAAGTATAATATAAAAAAAGTTAAAATAAGCATACTGCAATCATACTCAAAATATAACTGCTTCGTAGAAGCTGATTTGAAACAACTGATAATCATAAACGCAAATAAAAAAATAATATCAAATTACTTTTATAAACAAATATATTAATAGCACGTATTTTTAAGCGGTATTATTTAGCTCTATCCTATTTTAGACCGGAATGAATTTTATTTCTAGATCGCTGACTGAACCTTGGCGTGTGGGGAGTCGGCTGTGAGTCAAGAGCAGTCACGTAGTATCTCGTGGGATTTTAAAACTCAGTTTACGTCTAAAAGCCGATTGCGGAGGGCGCAGAGATGGACCAGCTTGAATTTCAAGAGCCCATGGATACGACCAAGCATCCGAAAGACAGAATAGTCGACCACCTAGTCCAGATCGAAAAGCACGTGGAATGTTTAAGGAAGGAGACGTTCATTCTGGAAGGCCTGAAAAACACCCTGATGGCCACGCTGGATTCGTTGAAATGCAGCGACCTGCTCGGCAAACTGGAGGAGCAAGAGCTTGAGGACGTGTTGCAGTACGTGGACCGGGTGGCGAACAAATGTCTCACGATCGACGTCTCCGTCCGGACGACAAGGAATCTCCAGGAGGAAGACGCGTTGCACAGGGTGAACAATCTCATTGACGATGTCGTGGTCAGCTTCCGTGACAACTGGGCCTACGGCAAATTAACCTGCGAGTCTTATTTGTCCGCCTGCTGCGAAATCGTAGGAGTAGCCCCGAACGAAACATTCAAACAGCTTTTGACCCAGTGCTCGGAAGACGATCAGAATATCATCGCCAATCGGATAAGCGGCTTGCTTAATTACATGAACGGTATCAACAAGCTTACTGTCACTGAATTGAATTAATAAAACCAAAAACCTTCCACCCATGTTCCATATGTTTTTATATTAATAAATGAAATTAGAAAACATTCCACAACGTGAAATAAATGTTTTGAAATGAGAATACTTTAATTTGTTTTCTTGTAAAGGAAATTGGTTGTCTAATTTCATTCACTAAGACTGTTACATTATAAGTTTAACCACATTTTGATATTTTTTTTTAAACTTTCGTTGCTGATTATGCTTAATTAATATTAAATGTACACGTGATTCAAAACAATAAAGACTTCGATTTTAGTTGAGTGTTTTTTTCCTGTATATATCAAGTCTACATAATTATAAACACACGCAATGTAAACATTGCTTCACCCCATCAAAACAATACATTGTAATTGAAAATACAAAAATGCCCCTAAAATAAAATAAATTTTACATTTGTACGAACATACATTTACAAATTGTACTATAACGAAAAAGAAGAAAAACAGTTGATAAAGTTATTTGCACATTGCAAAAAGATTAAACACAAAATAATAATTAAAGACGTATTTATTAACTAGAAACAAACATTAATTTTTTTATATATAATAAACAGTTAGAACAAATCTGATATTTTCTTTAATTAAAAGGAACACGGAAATTGACTAAAATTTAGATTATACGAACATTCCCAGCTATCGTGTCAATATCATACCACGACGTTCATAACTCTCTTGTGCATAACCTGTCTTCCAGTTTAGTTATTTGACAGCAGGCTGTGCCGGTGCTCGCCTCGAATTTAGTGGTTACACCTCTGATGTTAAATCCGCCTAGTCTCTAAACTAAATTGATCAACTGCTCGTGCCCTAAATTAGCATAATATTATCACGGTCACTAGTAATCACAAGCTTTACCCATTGTAAAGGTGCGTCCTCTGACGGGTTGTCAAATGAAACAGGCCCTTTTCCTTGTACTGGAGCATGTATCACATTATAATTCTCAATATAAAGAATGTTAAAAACTAATTAAATATGTACGTAAATGTAATCAAACAGTCTGGTACAAAATGAAATCATTAAAATCCACTGAGGTGGTCTCTTTGATCTGTACTATCTGACGTCACGATTGGTGAACGGACGGTCATTTTCCAACTAATTCAGGTAATCCAAAGTGAACGGTCAAATTTATCCTCATAGGCCTGTTTCGTAATTCTTCGTCTGTCTCGATGATATCTTCCAAAGTGAAGATCGTATTGTATAATACGGTCGCTTAATTGGTTTCCCACCGAGCAGGCGGAGTGAAAACTATTTTTATAAAAATTTTGCGTATTGCAATATTATAAGGATTTACGTAAATGTACGCTCGCTTGGAACGTAGTAATCAGCCTCCATCGGAGTCGTCACACGTTTTATGCAATTATTTTGGCATAAAATCCATTTTGATTGCAAACATTTCAATTCAGCATAATCACAAATTGAATTAGAATGGGACATTTCGAAAGTATGGACATTATTTTATGACTAGCCGTTGATCAGATCTGTTTTTAATATTTTTTTCTGAAATCTTATGTGTCATCTCTATAATAAAATTACAAACGTAACAATTAATTTTTAAATTTTATTCTTTCCAAAGTTAGAAGTAAAGAAAAAAAAGTTATTAAGTGCGCACATCCTCCTCCATAGTAACGACTAAAGCAGATACCTATGTTATCCTCTTAGCTTAAAAGAATTTGAATGATATACTCCTAAGTATAAGAAGGGCCCTGGAAGTAAAATTTTTAAAATGATTTTTTCTTTTTTATTGAAAAATTTTTAAACAAAAAATACGATTTTGCAGCGTAGGAGGATCCTGTGCCATTTTTGGCAATACATTTTGTTTCTTAACATAGCAAACCCTTTAAAAATTAGTTTATCGAAAGTTGAAAAACTAAAAAAAAGAAAAGTGAATTGCAATAGAGCTGCCAGTTTGCATTTGTTTTGATTTTTTTACACAAAACGCCCTAAAATCGTAATTTTTAATTAAAAATAAAATAAAAATCTCTTCAAAATAAGTTGATATTTTTTAATCTATGAATCGGAAAAGAAGAACAACAATAACGAAGAAAAAAGTATTTTTATTTCGAAAGCTAACATAAAACTAACAAACTACATAACTAGAAATAGGAATTGGAAATTTGAATTGCTGTTCAATGAATAATCCGACAAATAACATTAATTTATTTTCAATACAATAAAGAGAATAGCTTTTTATTTGGCAAATTTATAAAACTGACGAATTAACATTTTACAGTAAAGCAAGTAATTATCAACGAAACAATTACTAACTATCAAACACCGACAACAAATTGCTCAAAATAAACGAGAACAAGAAAGTACAAATAATGACGAAACACCAACATAAAATGAGTGCTTGAAAAACGAAACAAAATCAAAGTAATTTCATTCAAGCTTGAATAATAGATTTATTTCAGAGGCCAAGGTTTCGGAGTTTATCGTTCCGCAAGTAGGAAATTGATAACACAGGATAAGATAGAAGACCTTATGGACGCCTTCATCCGGGCGAACAATGGGCAATGATAGACGCGGATCCTCATAGTAAATCTGCGTGCATAACCATTACCATAAATTATGGCATCATTGTGACCTTGTCCAACTCATAAACTGTCAAGGGTAAAACGGAACTATTCAATGTAAACAGCCAGTAAAGTAAAACAGTTATGAACTCCTAAGACTGAAAATTATCCGAATCTTCATACACATTTACAAAAAGCTTACTTGCACTTCGCGTTTTTTTACTAGTATGATATAAATGAATTGAAATTTGCTTTGGGTGTCACTGAACTTTATAATGCTAGCGTGTTTCTATATTTTCTAGTTTACCTAAGTATCTACATTTTATTTCTCGTTTCGCTACAGTATATATANAAAATATAATATTATATATATTTTTATCAATCATTTTACTTATTAAAACTGTGCTACAAAATCTGGTGTCTTATGCATTTATGTATGAATTTGAACCTTTGTTCACCGAGTCTGCAAGGAGCATTTTATCTTCAATGTACATTAAACACAATATAGTTTTAACAAAATATTTATACAGGCATTACACATTTAAACAACAAAAGTATTAAACACATCATTAGATGCGGGTACATGAGTTTAATAAATAGATAAGGCAATAATAATATTTAACTATAAGCTAACACAATAAATCAAATAACAGAAAAATGCTTAACATCTATTTTCACACTATTTATCACAGTAATTTGTTAAACCAATGTACATTGGCATACACACTTTCTTTTAACTCGTGTTTATTATTTTTCAAACAATATATGCTTATGGGTACGTTTATGTTTGATCAGCGATGAGAGCGGCGACAAGAGAAGCGCAAAATTCATGTATGGAGTTTTGACAATAGCGAAGATTTTTTCTTTATAGTTGACGTTGTATTTATTATTTAGATCTAACCACTTGATTGAAAATATTTCTTTAAAAATGATGGAAAAAATATTTTCAACTTCAAATGCTATTGAATTGTATATTGTTGAAACTGAAAATAAAAAGCTCATATTCTCTGCCTGTCCTGTAAATACCCAATTGTACATATTTGGAGTGTTACAAATTTTTATAAACAATTAAACAACACCCTTCGAAATTTATAGAATGTATCAGAAGGAGAATAAATACCTTTGATTACATACTTTCGCACATCTCTGATGGGATTTCAAAAAGATGTAGAAATTGTCATAGTAGACCGATTGTATCGAAGAGCGGCTTATGATTACAATCAAGTAAGTAAATGTAGTCATATTTTATAAAATATTCAATTAATTAAGGTTTTAAGTTGAGATAAAAAAGTCAGTGTCACGAGAGGGATTCGCACTTTTTTTATCTCAACTTAAAACCTTAATTAATTGAATGATATTAATCGGTCAGGCGGACCACGAAAAAATAGTGAATTTATAAAATATTATATATTGTTATAATAATATACAAAAAATTTATTATAAAGATAATTCAAAACTCAAATCAGACACAAGAGGTAGTATAGCTACGCTGCCACAAGAAAGGTATAAAAATGACTCAAGTTTAACCACCATGATTACTCATACTGGAAGACCAAACCAACAGGTACAGATGGGCTAATTATTCATGAATTATAACAATTGACAATTGCTCTATAGTTGTAGGTTGTAAAGCTAGGTATTAGTCATATTTCCTCAAATGGGAGCTTCTTAAGTTAGCGTTCTTGTAGCTCTTGTAGCTAGTTCTTGTGTAAAGCCGTTGTTCTTGTAGCAGGTTCACTCACTTCGATGTTGTGCGTGAATATCCTTAGGGACGAGAATTATGCATTCGGGCATACCCACTGAACTGAGTAAAGATGGTCGGTATCGCCAGATTGAGATTAATATTTTTATTCCGCCGTTTGGCATCAACCACCTCTGAACTTTAGTAAAACACACATTGTTACTATTTTTGGCACAGCCGCACAAAATTGCATGCCATAGATCCAGAGTGGTTTAAGGATCGTTATATTTTTTGGATTGGCAAAGGGGAATTTTCCCAAAAGCCAATACAGTTGTCCATATTTAAAACCCAATTCTATTCTTTTTTTGCTTTTAATGAGTGCTCACTTTTTCGGTTTAGAATCTTGCGTCATACTTTGCTACCTTATTGTGTTTTGTGTCGATACTATTTTTCCTGTTTAGAGCTTATATTCATCTTTCTATCTGGTTACTCATATTTTGTAATTTTCTTGTTGAGGATGCAACATGCTGTGTCATCAGTGATAGTTATTAGTTTCGTTTTCATGTTGATGATTGGTCACTGGTGTGATCATTGAGCATGGCTCAATGATGCTTTCCTTGGGAACATCAGCTGTTATTTCTAAACTTCGGAGTATCTGCCTTCTTGCTTTACTCTGAAGAGTCTCTCTGAGAGGTAGGAGGAGATAAGTTTACATTATGGGGTGGGCAGATTATTTTAAAAGTATATGTATTAGGCTTTCGGCCAGACTTCCAGAAACGCATATATGTTTTTCTTTAAAAGCTCTTTCTATTATATCA